CTGGATTATCGCCATATGAAATGTTATATGGTATGCCTTATTCTCAAGGGATGCCTCTAGGGAACAATGTAGTTGAGGGTCGTAGCATGCAGAAATATATAATTACTCTTGGAAGGAGATTACAAGAGCTAAGAGAAATTGGAGTGATGGCTCAAACACCACCTTTAGGATTTGCTATTCATAAGATACAACCAGGGGACAAGGTCTTAATAAAAACCTGGAGGGAAGAATCATTGAACCCCCGGTGGGAGGGACCGTACCTTGTTTTACCTGCACATCCAGAATAAAAGGACCAGTAAGTACCGAAACTTGGAGGGTTGAGTCCGCTCCTGGGGAACTGAAACTAAAGCTAGAGAAGAACTAATGTTCTGGCAGTGACGCTCTGCATGAATTAAGGACGCCAAATAAAGGGGACAAGCCTAAAGGGAGGAAAGGGAGAAGGCAAGACCGGGGCAGGACTCTCCACTGCGGTGTGTATGGTCTACCGAGGGAGGCAACCCCTATGGGTACTGACCGCCGAGTGAGAGGGCCTCGACCCGACTTCTCCCACGCTAAGGTCAGGTTGTCCCGAGAAAATAACATAAGAACCTTTTTTATAAACCCATATAAAATTGTGATTTGTTTTCCAGGAGCTGGATCACCCCGACAGGCTGAACTGAATGGTAACACAAGCCCCAATCGACCCTGAAAGCGGGCCCAACCCCTTGATTGAAGGCGTCTTGCCTATTATGATCTGTGAGGAATGTTTTAACAATTCGTGTCAATGGAGAGCTTGAAGGAAAATGTATTCGTATGTTCTTTCCTTGAAGTCTCTGATATCTGGGGGTTTCAGAACAACTGCTAACTGTTATGACTTCTGAATGGGACACTATGCAAGCCCCTGATATCTGGCCAGGAGATTAGGGAGAAGGGAAAAGCTGAAGGACGGCTAAAAGACAAAGCTTGCAGGGAACGCTGTGCAAGCTTTTGACATACAGCCAAGGAGTACAAAGAAGAAGGACAAGAAAAAAAAAAAAGCCTGAGAGGAAGACTATGAGCCTTCATCATGAAAGACCCCCAGAGGGAGCACCAGAGACTGATACGCATGCTCCAGTAGGAGGGTTCAAATTCCGGAACTAATTATAATAACTCCGTTGTTTGTTTTTTTTTAGAAATAGTAATGAATATGTATTAGTCTAGGAGCATAAAAAATCAGCATCTTGATGTAACGGGTGTGCGACCAGGTGGAGCGGAGACTCCCGGCGCACCCAGCGCTGTTTGCCAGCGCTGTTTGCTTACCTCTATTCTTTTAATAAATTGTAAACTTTGATTATAATCCTATTTTGGGACTGAGCTATTTATAACAACTTAGGGGCTCGTCCGGGATGGTTTTGGTTCCTGGATTTTAATCTAGGAGAGGCGCCCCCACCATTTGGTGGCTCCTGTCCGGAACCAATGCCATCTTGAACCTGAATAAAGGTAAGCAAAGATTTTGATTTTGTTATGAGCTCCCTTGCCGGCTGCAGCATTGTTTTTGCCCGTAATTCTGCGCGCGAAGATCCGAACGAAGACGACGGAGTCGTAAGCATTTAAGGCGTGTACCGTTCGGTTGGGTGGGATTCGGTTGCCTGTGTGTGTGTAAGAGTGTGACTGAGACGGAACGTAGTTCCGAAGCGAGTGCGGAGGTCTTCTAACCGATAAGCAAATACTGGGACGTTTGCATGCACAAACACATTGGGGTACAAAGGTGTTAAGTGATCATTTACTAAAACAATTTGGTTGCATTGTTTGTTTTTGAAATAGCAAAGCAAATTACACCACGTTGCTTAACTTGTCAGAAGATAAATAAGAAAGTGTTTTGACAAGCAGCCACGGGAGGGAGAAAAACAGCTTATAGGCCTTTCGAGAGGGTACAAGTTGGTTTCACTGAATTGCCCCAGGTAGGGAGGATAAGATATCTATTGGTAATAGTAGATCACTTAACGCAATGGGTAGAAGCTTATCCCGTAGCAGGAGCTACGGCACAAATGGTGGCAAAAATTCTATTAGAACACCTGATACCTAAATACGGGATAATCCAGTACATTGATTCTGCTCAGGGCACACACTTTGCTTCTAAACTAATAAGATTATTCTGTCAGTCATTAGGTATTCAGTGGGAATATTCTAAGTGGTATTGGAATATTCTAAGTGGTATTCTTTATCTGCTAGATTATTTCCTCCGGTGTGGTAATCTAATTAGGTATTCAGTGGGAAAATTCTAAGGAGAATCTCCATCCTTTACTGGATGCGGGGGGGGGAAACCTTGTTACAAAAGATGAGGAAAAGGCGGAGGTGCTTATGCCTTCTTTGCCTGTCTTTAGCGGCAATACCGGTTGTTCTCTGGATACCCGGTACCCTGAGCTGGCAGAAGGGGATGGGGAGCTGAATGTGGCCCTCACTATCCACGAAGAAATGGTTGGTGACCTGGTATGGCACTTGGATGTGCGCAAGTCGATGGGGCCGGATGGGATCCACCCGAGGGTACTGAGAGAACTGGCAGAGGAGCTGGCCAAGCCGCTTACCATCATTTATCAACAGTCCTGGCTATCGGGGGAGGTCCCAGTTGACTGGCGGCTAGCAAATGTGACGCCCATCTACAAGAAGGGCCGTAGGGCAGACCCGGGGAACTATAGGCCTGTCAGTTTGACCTCAGTGCCAGGGAAGCTCATGGAGCAGATTATCTTGAGAGTCATCACGCGGCACTTGCAGGGCAAGCAGGCGATCAGGCCCAGTCAGCATGGGTTTATGAAAGGCAGGTCCTGCTTGACGAGCCTGATCTCCTTCTATGACAAAGTGACGCGCTTGGTGGATGAGGGAAAGGCTGTGGATGTGGTCTACCTTGACTTCAGCAAGGCTTTTGACACCGTTTCCCACAGCATTCTCCTCAGGAAACTGGCTGCTCTTGGCTTGGACTGGCGCACGCTTCGTTGGGTTAGAAACTGGCTGGATAGCCGGGCCCAAAGAGTCGTGGTAACTGGAGTCAAATCCAGTTGGAGGCCGGTTACTAGTGGCGTTCCCCAGGGCTCGGTGCTGGGGCCGGTCCTCTTTAATATCTTCATCGATGATCTGGATGAGGGCATTGAGGGTACCCTCAGTAAGTTCGCAGATGACACCAAGTTAGGTGCGTGTGTCGATCTGCTCGAGGGTAGGAAGGCTCTGCAGGAGGATCTGGATAGGCTGGACCGATGGGCTGAGGTCAACTGCATGAAGTTCAACAAGGCCAAGTGCCGGGTCCTGCACCTGGGGCGCAATAACCCCAAGCAGAGCTACAGGCTGGGAGAGGAATGGTTGGAAAGCTGCCAGGCGGAGAAGGACCTGGGAGTATTGGTTGATAGTCGGCTGAATATGAGCCAGCAGTGTGCTCAGGTGGCCGAGAAGGCCAACGGCATCCTGGCTTGTATAAGAAGCAGTGTGGCCAGCAGGGCTAGGGAAGTGATCGTCCCCCTGTACTCGGCTCTGGTGAGGCCGCACCTCGAGTACTGTGTTCGGTTTTGGGCCCCTCGCTACAAGAAGGACATGGAGGTGCTTGAGGGAGTCCACAGAAGGGCGACGAAGCTGGTGAGGGGTCTGGAGAACAAGTCCTACGAGGAGCGGCTGAGGGAGCTGGGCTTGTTCAGCCTGGAGAAGAGGAGGCTCAGGGGCGACCTTATCACTCTCTACAGGTACCTTAAAGGAGGCTGTAGCGAGGTGGGGGTTGGTCTGTTCTCCCACGTGCCTGGTGACAGGACGAGGAGGGGGAATGGGCTAAAGTTGCGCCAGGGGAGTTTTAGGTTGGATGTTAGGAAGAACTTCTTTACCGAAAGGGTTGTTAGACATTGGAACAGGCTGCCCAGGGAAGTGGTGGAGTCACCATCCCTGGAAGTCTTTAAAAGATGTTTAGATGTAGAGCTTAGGCATATGGTTTAGAGGGGACTGTTAGCGTTAGGTCAGAGGTTGGACTCGATGATCTTGAGGTCTCTTCCAACCTAGAAATTCTGTGATTCTGTGAATATCATACTCCATGGCACCCACAAAGCTCAGGGAAAGTAGAAAGATTGAATCAAACAACAAAAAAAAACAACAATTGGCTAAATCAATGATCGAGACACAAATGCCCTGGATGAAATGCTTACCATTGGCACTTCTAAACATAAGAACTAAACCACACAGTGAGACTGGATTATCGCCATATGAAATGTTATATGGTATGCCTTATTCTCAAGGGATGCCTCTAGGGAACAATGTAGTTGAGGGTCGTAGCATGCAGAAATATATAATTACTCTTGGAAGGAGATTACAAGAGCTAAGAGAAATTGGAGTGATGGCTCAAACACCACCTTTAGGATTTGCTATTCATAAGATACAACCAGGGGACAAGGTCTTAATAAAAACCTGGAGGGAAGAATCATTGAACCCCCGGTGGGAGGGACCGTACCTTGTTTTACCTGCACATCCAGAATAAAAGGACCAGTAAGTACCGAAACTTGGAGGGTTGAGTCCGCTCCTGGGGAACTGAAACTAAAGCTAGAGAAGAACTAATGTTCTGGCAGTGACGCTCTGCATGAATTAAGGACGCCAAATAAAGGGGACAAGCCTAAAGGGAGGAAAGGGAGAAGGCAAGACCGGGGCAGGACTCTCCACTGCGGTGTGTATGGTCTACCGAGGGAGGCAACCCCTATGGGTACTGACCGCCGAGTGAGAGGGCCTCGACCCGACTTCTCCCACGCTAAGGTCAGGTTGTCCCGAGAAAATAACATAAGAACCTTTTTTATAAACCCATATAAAATTGTGATTTGTTTTCCAGGAGCTGGATCACCCCGACAGGCTGAACTGAATGGTAACACAAGCCCCAATCGACCCTGAAAGCGGGCCCAACCCCTTGATTGAAGGCGTCTTGCCTATTATGATCTGTGAGGAATGTTTTAACAATTCGTGTCAATGGAGAGCTTGAAGGAAAATGTATTCGTATGTTCTTTCCTTGAAGTCTCTGATATCTGGGGGTTTCAGAACAACTGCTAACTGTTATGACTTCTGAATGGGACACTATGCAAGCCCCTGATATCTGGCCAGGAGATTAGGGAGAAGGGAAAAGCTGAAGGACGGCTAAAAGACAAAGCTTGCAGGGAACGCTGTGCAAGCTTTTGACATACAGCCAAGGAGTACAAAGAAGAAGGACAAGAAAAAAAAAAAAGCCTGAGAGGAAGACTATGAGCCTTCATCATGAAAGACCCCCAGAGGGAGCACCAGAGACTGATACGCATGCTCCAGTAGGAGGGTTCAAATTCCGGAACTAATTATAATAACTCCGTTGTTTGTTTTTTTTTAGAAATAGTAATGAATATGTATTAGTCTAGGAGCATAAAAAATCAGCATCTTGATGTAACGGGTGTGCGACCAGGTGGAGCGGAGACTCCCGGCGCACCCAGCGCTGTTTGCCAGCGCTGTTTGCTTACCTCTATTCTTTTAATAAATTGTAAACTTTGATTATAATCCTATTTTGGGACTGAGCTATTTATAACAACTTAGGGGCTCGTCCGGGATGGTTTTGGTTCCTGGATTTTAATCTAGGAGAGGCGCCCCCACCATTTGGTGGCTCCTGTCCGGAACCAATGCCATCTTGAACCTGAATAAAGGTAAGCAAAGATTTTGATTTTGTTATGAGCTCCCTTGCCGGCTGCAGCATTGTTTTTGCCCGTAATTCTGCGCGCGAAGATCCGAACGAAGACGACGGAGTCGTAAGCATTTAAGGCGTGTACCGTTCGGTTGGGTGGGATTCGGTTGCCTGTGTGTGTGTAAGAGTGTGACTGAGACGGAACGTAGTTCCGAAGCGAGTGCGGAGGTCTTCTAACCGATAAGCAAATACTGGGACGTTTGCATGCACAAACACATTGGGGTACAAAGGTGTTAAGTGATCATTTACTAAAACAATTTGGTTGCATTGTTTGTTTTTGAAATAGCAAAGCAAATTACACCACGTTGCTTAACTTGTCAGAAGATAAATAAGAAAGTGTTTTGACAAGCAGCCACGGGAGGGAGAAAAACAGCTTATAGGCCTTTCGAGAGGGTACAAGTTGGTTTCACTGAATTGCCCCAGGTAGGGAGGATAAGATATCTATTGGTAATAGTAGATCACTTAACGCAATGGGTAGAAGCTTATCCCGTAGCAGGAGCTACGGCACAAATGGTGGCAAAAATTCTATTAGAACACCTGATACCTAAATACGGGATAATCCAGTACATTGATTCTGCTCAGGGCACACACTTTGCTTCTAAACTAATAAGATTATTCTGTCAGTCATTAGGTATTCAGTGGGAATATTCTAAGTGGTATTGGAATATTCTAAGTGGTATTCTTTATCTGCTAGATTATTTCCTCCGGTGTGGTAATCTAATTAGGTATTCAGTGGGAAAATTCTAAGGAGAATCTCCATCCTTTACTGGATGCGGGGGGGGAAACCTTGTTACAAAAGATGAGGAAAAGGCGGAGGTGCTTATGCCTTCTTTGCCTGTCTTTAGCGGCAATACCGGTTGTTCTCTGGCTACCCGGTACCCTGAGCTGGCAGAAGGGGATGGGGAGCTGAATGTGGCCCTCACTATCCACGAAGAAATGGTTGGTGACCTGGTATGGCACTTGGATGTGCGCAAGTCGATGGGGCCGGATGGGATCCACCCGAGGGTACTGAGAGAACTGGCAGAGGAGCTGGCCAAGCCGCTTACCATCATTTATCAACAGTCCTGGCTATCGGGGGAGGTCCCAGTTGACTGGCGGCTAGCAAATGTGACGCCCATCTACAAGAAGGGCCGTAGGGCAGACCCGGGGAACTATAGGCCTGTCAGTTTGACCTCAGTGCCAGGGAAGCTCATGGAGCAGATTATCTTGAGAGTCATCACGCGGCACTTGCAGGGCAAGCAGGCGATCAGGCCCAGTCAGCATGGGTTTATGAAAGGCAGGTCCTGCTTGACGAGCCTGATCTCCTTCTATGACAAAGTGACGCGCTTGGTGGATGAGGGAAAGGCTGTGGATGTGGTCTACCTTGACTTCAGCAAGGCTTTTGACACCGTTTCCCACAGCATTCTCCTCAGGAAACTGGCTGCTCTTGGCTTGGACTGGCGCACGCTTCGTTGGGTTAGAAACTGGCTGGATAGCCGGGCCCAAAGAGTCGTGGTAACTGGAGTCAAATCCAGTTGGAGGCCGGTTACTAGTGGCGTTCCCCAGGGCTCGGTGCTGGGGCCGGTCCTCTTTAATATCTTCATCGATGATCTGGATGAGGGCATTGAGGGTACCCTCAGTAAGTTCGCAGATGACACCAAGTTAGGTGCGTGTGTCGATCTGCTCGAGGGTAGGAAGGCTCTGCAGGAGGATCTGGATAGGCTGGACCGATGGGCTGAGGTCAACTGCATGAAGTTCAACAAGGCCAAGTGCCGGGTCCTGCACCTGGGGCGCAATAACCCCAAGCAGAGCTACAGGCTGGGAGAGGAATGGTTGGAAAGCTGCCAGGCGGAGAAGGACCTGGGAGTATTGGTTGATAGTCGGCTGAATATGAGCCAGCAGTGTGCTCAGGTGGCCGAGAAGGCCAACGGCATCCTGGCTTGTATAAGAAGCAGTGTGGCCAGCAGGGCTAGGGAAGTGATCGTCCCCCTGTACTCGGCTCTGGTGAGGCCGCACCTCGAGTACTGTGTTCGGTTTTGGGCCCCTCGCTCCAAGAAGGACATGGAGGTGCTTGAGGGAGTCCACAGAAGGGCGACGAAGCTGGTGAGGGGTCTGGAGAACAAGTCCTACGAGGAGCGGCTGAGGGAGCTGGGCTTGTTCAGCCTGGAGAAGAGGAGGCTCAGGGGCGACCTTATCACTCTCTACAGGTACCTTAAAGGAGGCTGTAGCGAGGTGGGGGTTGGTCTGTTCTCCCACGTGCCTGGTGACAGGACGAGGAGGGGGAATGGGCTAAAGTTGCGCCAGGGGAGTTTTAGGTTGGATGTTAGGAAGAACTTCTTTACCGAAAGGGTTGTTAGACATTGGAACAGGCTGCCCAGGGAAGTGGTGGAGTCACCATCCCTGGAAGTCTTTAAAAGATGTTTAGATGTAGAGCTTAGGCATATGGTTTAGAGGGGACTGTTAGCGTTAGGTCAGAGGTTGGACTCGATGATCTTGAGGTCTCTTCCAACCTAGAAATTCTGTGATTCTGTGAATATCATACTCCATGGCACCCACAAAGCTCAGGGAAAGTAGAAAGATTGAATCAAACAACAAAAAAAAAACAACAATTGGCTAAATCAATGATCGAGACACAAATGCCCTGGATGAAATGCTTACCATTGGCACTTCTAAACATAAGAACTAAACCACACAGTGAGACTGGATTATCGCCATATGAAATGTTATATGGTATGCCTTATTCTCAAGGGATGCCTCTAGGGAACAATGTAGTTGAGGGTCGTAGCATGCAGAAATATATAATTACTCTTGGAAGGAGATTACAAGAGCTAAGAGAAATTGGAGTGATGGCTCAAACACCACCTTTAGGATTTGCTATTCATAAGATACAACCAGGGGACAAGGTCTTAATAAAAACCTGGAGGGAAGAATCATTGAACCCCCGGTGGGAGGGACCGTACCTTGTTTTACCTGCACATCCAGAATAAAAGGACCAGTAAGTACCGAAACTTGGAGGGTTGAGTCCGCTCCTGGGGAACTGAAACTAAAGCTAGAGAAGAACTAATGTTCTGGCAGTGACGCTCTGCATGAATTAAGGACGCCAAATAAAGGGGACAAGCCTAAAGGGAGGAAAGGGAGAAGGCAAGACCGGGGCAGGACTCTCCACTGCGGTGTGTATGGTCTACCGAGGGAGGCAACCCCTATGGGTACTGACCGCCGAGTGAGAGGGCCTCGACCCGACTTCTCCCACGCTAAGGTCAGGTTGTCCCGAGAAAATAACATAAGAACCTTTTTTATAAACCCATATAAAATTGTGATTTGTTTTCCAGGAGCTGGATCACCCCGACAGGCTGAACTGAATGGTAACACAAGCCCCAATCGACCCTGAAAGCGGGCCCAACCCCTTGATTGAAGGCGTCTTGCCTATTATGATCTGTGAGGAATGTTTTAACAATTCGTGTCAATGGAGAGCTTGAAGGAAAATGTATTCGTATGTTCTTTCCTTGAAGTCTCTGATATCTGGGGGTTTCAGAACAACTGCTAACTGTTATGACTTCTGAATGGGACACTATGCAAGCCCCTGATATCTGGCCAGGAGATTAGGGAGAAGGGAAAAGCTGAAGGACGGCTAAAAGACAAAGCTTGCAGGGAACGCTGTGCAAGCTTTTGACATACAGCCAAGGAGTACAAAGAAGAAGGACAAGAAAAAAAAAAAGCCTGAGAGGAAGACTATGAGCCTTCATCATGAAAGACCCCCAGAGGGAGCACCAGAGACTGATAGGCATGCTCCAGTAGGAGGGTTCAGATTCCGGAACTAATCATAATAACTCCGTTGTTTTTTTTAGAAATAGTAATGAATACGTATTAGTCTAGGAGCATAAAAAAATCAGCATCTTGATGTAACGGGTGTGCGACTTGGTGGAGCGGAGACTCCCGGCGCACCCAGCGCTGTTTGCTTACCTCTATTCTTTTAATAAATTGTAAACTTTGATTATAATCCTATTTTGGGACTGAGCTACTTATAACATGATCCAGCTACGTGGGCAGAAGACGGATCCTGGGGCTATAGGACCCCAATATATATGCTTAGTAGAATAATTAGGTTAGAAGCTGTAATAGAAATAGTTGTAAATAAAACCGGAGATGCACTTGGATTAATTGCAAGGCAAAATACTAAGATGAGGACTGCTTTGTATCAAAATCGCTTAGCTTTGGATTATTTGCGCAAGAAGGAGAAGTCTGTGGAAAATTTAACCTTAGTAATTGCTGTTTTATAGATTGGTGATGAAGGTGTTTCTTCCTAGTAGCTGGTAGAATGCTATGTTTTGGCTTAGGATGAGAAGAGTGCTGATAACATGCTGATGTTTTAATTGTTGCAGAGCAGTGCTTAGGCCAAGCCAAGGGCGTTTCAGCTTCTCACTCTGTCCTGCCAGCGAGCAGGCTGGGGGTGCAGCAAGAGCTGGGAGGAGGGCCGGACTGCTCGGGGTTAGGCTGGGCATCGGACAGCGGGTGGTGAGCAATTGCATTGTGCATCACTTGTTTCATACACGTTATTATTAGTAATACTATTATCATAACGATTGTCTTTATTGTTATTGTTATTATTTATCTGTCTTTATCTCAACTCACGGGCTTCGCTTTCCCGTTTCTCTCCCCATCCCAGAGAGGGAGGGGAGAGGGTGAGCGAACGGCTGTGTGGTGTTTAGCTGCCGGCCGGGTTAAACCACAACAGAAGGAAAAGCTGTAAATGAACTTGTAAAAGAAACGAAGAAAATTGCACATGCCCCAGTTCAAACTCGCAATGGAATCGAGCTAGGAGGATTATCGGGGGGGGGGGGGGGGGGGCTTTATGGGTGTTGATTGGCTTACTAAAAGTGGGATGGTTGTACTGGGGGGATATGTGGAGGATTTTAATAATTCCATGTTTTACCAGACCAATACACTCGGTTATACAAGGAATGCAAATACCTGCGGTACCTGTTGTGGGAATAGAAATGTTGTTTTTGCAGAGTTCCGTTGTTTAGAGGGAAGGAACGTGGTACTGAGATATGCTTGCAGTGATAAGAAAGCTTAGCAGGCGACCTCGTAAAATGCAGACAACCGGACTCCTTAGGACAATTAGGTGAAAATGGCGGTGTCAAGTCAGATAAGTGAAGAAACATTACCACATCAGATAGGTTGTGAACCTGGATTACCCCCTCAGTGGGGAAACAGGGGAGGGTCCTGTCATCAAAAAGCGTATAAACTGTGTTTTGGAACTAGTAGGCGCGCTCTCCTGCTTGTGGGGCGCCCGCCATTGCAATCAATCGCGAGTAAATTACTACTTCGCTGAGATCCTCGCCTGAGCCTAAGCTATCGGCTACGGAGCGTTTCTCACCCTCCCTTCCAACCCAAGCCACGCTCTGATTCTATGAGCGGAGCGCCTGTTCTGTGGAGCTCGTTTCCCAGCCGTGCAGGGCCCAGATTCCCTCCGCGGAGCCGCCCAGCCCGTTTTCGGGCGCCCACTTCCTCCCTCCCGGTCGGCTCCCTCCGCGCCCCGAGGGCACGCGACCTCCCTGAGCGCCGATAAGCACCGGGTCGACGGGAGCGGAGCCGCCGAGAGGGCGGGGACAAGGGAAGAGGGCAGGCGAGGCAGCCAATCGAGGCGCGGGGGCGGTCGGCGGCGATCTGTCGGCCCAATGAGCGCCGCGGAGGGCCGGGCCGAGTGCGGGAAGTGAGGGGGCGTTGTACCGAGCGGGCGCCGTCATGGCCGACGGGATTGTTAGGGCGCAGGCCGCCTGGCCCGGTGGCGGCGCTGCCGCTGCTTTCGGAGAGGTCGCCTGCAAGGGCAAGGAGGTCCCCGCCAACGTTCTCCGTGAGGATGAGCGGTCGTGGACGAGGAGGTAGCCGCGGCGTTGTTGTGCGAGTCTTTCCTTCCTTTCCCTCGGCCGCTCGCAGGCCCTCTGAAACGAGGGCCCGTCGCGGGTCCCGGGAGTGCGGCAGGGCGGGTGGTGGCCTTGCTGCGGGAGGGAGGGAGGGAGGGACGGTCGGTCGGTCGGTCGGTCGGTCGGGGTCTCTCCGGCTCGTGGCGCTCTCTACTGCAGCGCCTCTAAAACGCCGCGCTTCTTCGGTGCCTGCCCCCGGGGTGCCACGGCGCGTACTGGGTCGCCGGCGCAGTCGGTCTCCTTGGGGGTTCGGACTGTATGCATATAGGCAGTGAGCATCGCAGTAGTGACCGTAATCAGTCGTTTCTGCGCTGGTGATAGCGTTGCAGAGACGCCCCGGCTCGGCTGTGCTAGGCTTTGGTTATGGCACCACCCCCACCGCGCACACGAGCGCACGCTCTCTCCAAAGTGGCTTGTGAAAGGGAAGAATTGCAGCTTTTCCTAGCTTTCTTAAACGCCTAGAAACCAGTCAATCCCGCAGGCTGCGAGAGCTTCCCAGCTCTCATTTCCGTGCTGGAGGTGGGCCGTGATAAGAGCATGCTGGCAAGGTTCACTGATGCTGGTGCGCCGCAACGTGCTAGGAGCTAAGTGAGCAGCTGCGGAGAGTTATGAAAAAGTTGCAGATGTTATCTGCAAGGTGCTAACTTTAAGTTAGTGTCCAGCCTAACCGTTGTTGCTGTTCTTAAATTTGAAATGCTAAAGATAGGACAGTTAGGGATTTCCTCTGCTTCTGACGGCAGGGTTTATCTGCAGCGTGGAAAACAGGCCCTTAGTGAAAGGGGCTGCGTTGCCCGCTCTGCGTGCTGACTCGTAGAATGGTTAGGCTTGGAAGGCACCCTTAAAGATCATCTAGCCCAACCCGCCTGCCGCGGTCAGGGACGTGTTTCACTAGATCGGGTTGCTCAAAGCGTTGACGCGTTGCTTGGAACAGCGCTTTCTTAATAGGTCTCGGTAATGTTGCAGCTGCCGCCCGTTTGGAGTACTGGAAGCGTTCAACTGCTCTCCGGAAACCGTGCTTGCGGTAGCGCCCTGCCTTTACCAAAGGGCGCGTTTCCTGTCTCCTTCGTGTTGAAGGCTGCGCGAGAAGTCTGTGTGTGTGTGTGTGTGTGTGTGTGTGTGTGTGCGCGTGCGCGCATCTGTTTTGACTCGGCTGTACTGGCTGCAGCAACGTATGTAACCTGAACGCTGTGCTTGATTGCAGAACCAGGCCGTTAACTTGAGTCTGATGAGTGACTTGAGAGCAGACAACCTACTCTGACCGCTCTTAGTGCGACACGTTTCCTGGAGGACGAATTAGTTGCAGTTTCTCGCTTGGTCTTAACTTGAGGCGGGGGGAGGGGGCGGGGGGCTTAGAACCACTTCTGGAGCGTAGTTGGCTAGCAGTTTCTGTCTGCTGGTGATTTGGGGAGTTCCCTCGCAATTAGTTGCGAGTTGATGGTTTCCCACAGGTCGGTGGTATTCGTGTTTCGAAGGTGATGCCTTGGCCTCGGTCTGGAGGTGTCTGACGTCGGGCCGGCCGTAACGGGCTAATTTGGAACGTTCCTTCCCCTGAGTAGGTGGCGTTCTCGAGGACGGAGAGTTAATACGGCCTCAGCCGGATTACTCCAGGTTCTTTGAAGATGCCTTCCTGCCTCTGGCCGAGGCAATATTTGGACGTAACCGAAGGACGGTTAGCCATTGTTTGCCGCTTGTGTGTCTTGTGCGTAGAAGGTAGAGAACTTTGCCTATTCAAAGCTCGCTTAAGAAGAATGGCTGTTTTGTCGTGCGCGTTTGGGGCGCCTGATAATCTGCTTCGGTAGGGCGAGTTCAGTGGGGCATAGTGATTTGCTTAAGCTGTTGCCTTTCTCTGAAGCCGACTACGTTTTAACTGTTTACTCTTCCTCCAGTGCCTTGCGTTCCGTGATAGTTCGCCTCAGGCTCCAGTGTTTTTTCCTAGTCCTTCCTGAGAAGGTAGTTGTCCGGTTATGTGAAGCAGAAGATTCTGGCGGACCCGTGAGTACTGTGGGAGCTTTCTGTTCGCTAGGCTGGCTGTACCTGTAACTGGTTTGTAACTTCCTAGACTCTTTCCCGTCCCCTCTTTTCCTCTGGATGTTGCAGAGGGGCGCACAGTAGGCTATTTGGGGTTGTCCGATGCTGTAGTCTTTCGCCTCTAGCTTGTAATGGAGCTGAGCTTTTTGACTGAGAGCAGTGATATAAAGCGATGCTCGTCTCCAGCTACGCGCTTGCAGTGCAAAAAGCAGCGTTGTTCCGACGTGCGGTCTGATGCCCGTTTTCACGCTTTCCGGACAGCGGGGGTGGTGCCTTGACTATGCAGAAGAGGGCTTGGGGTTTGGTCAGGTCAGAGGCGAGGAAAGGGAAAGCTGGTTGAGCGGCGCTTGGGTGTTTGTTTCGCTGTTAGCTATGCAAGTCAAGTTCCAAGGCTCTGTGAGCTCACGCAAGAGAAAAGGCACCGTGAAGCTTTTATTTTCCGCCAGAGCGGCTTACGTTGCCCGAAGCTATGACGGGGGCTTTAAGCCCCGAGACAAATTCAGCTTCTGTGACTGTTTTGTAGTCTGTTACTGTCTAGAGGGTAATTCAAAGAGCAGCGGTTGAATTGTGAAGGATTAGCTAACCGTGTTCTGTGGGTGGTTCTCTGCTCGCGTTCATTCTGTGCGTCGTGGCGCAGCACGTTAGGTGACGTTATTTCCTTTTTCCAGCTTCTTGGGCGTTTCGTGGTTGTTGGCAAGAAGTGTGCTGCTAACCTGGACCTGACCAATGGATTCCGGATGGCTGTGAATGCCCACCCTCGGGCCCTTCAGACTATCGCCGCCGAATAGGTTTCATATGTTGCCCATCAGTCTAGCCCCTGTTGATGTTTGATTTATTATTTTTTTTGGACGGCTGTCTATGGAGGGTAAGAAAGAGCTTTGAGCAGCGTTTGCACAATAAAGATGGAGCATGGGGATATCACCTCTGTCTTGCGTGTCTTACCGATGGAAATAGTTCCGCAAGTTAAAACGGCGTCTCCCTGGAGCGCACGTGTGTAGAATGTTTTGGTCCGTTGACAGTGTCGTGTAGGTGGTGGTTTGCCCATTCATTTGGAACGCGAAGCTAGAAGCGCTCGGCGGTCCTGTGGGTCTCCGTCTTCCTAAGACGATCTAGGATGTGCTGTGTGTTTGAGGCCTTGCTATCTTCCCCCTGCTCCCAAATAAAAGGGCACGCTTTTATTGCGAAATAGCCGTGTTGAGGACTGGCAGATGTAGAACCAGAGAAGAATAAGGTTGGAAGAAAGCTTCCAGGCATTGTCTGTTGTCTGCCCCTGTCCCGAGGAGGAGGCAGAACAAGCTCTACCGGGTGTGATTTCTGACAGGTGCTTGTCAGCCTGTTCTTGACTACCCTAGGAGTTTTGCTACCGCTTTCTTTTCAGTCCTCGTCGTGGCTTTCGCAACTTTGAGAAGGAATTCCTCCCACAGGATGTAGAAGGCTCTGGGATTCTTGAGTCGGCTTCTGATAAGTTCGAGACTCGGCTGCCGTTCTCTTTATTTTTTTTGTATTTATTTTTAGTGTCTTTTTTTTTTTTCCCTAAACGAAGTCCGTTGTTCAGTAACTAGAAGAAGGATTAGGTAAAGGCACCATAAGGCTTTTAAATGCGATCACCTCTCGTGCTTTGTTAGACCTCTGGCTTCGCTCTGCTCCTTGTTTAATCGCGATTACATTCAAGGCTTACTGGAGCGTGGGAACGTTAAAATGCTATTAAATACTCTTAGTGTTTGAAACTTGCTAAATGAGATGATTTTTGTGACTCCGTTCCTCATAAAGAAACTTGATTCGTTAGCAGGAGAAATGATCTTTGTTACTGGATCTGTTTGCTGGGGTTAACGATTGCAGCTGTGAATGACTAAAGTCTTTTGAGGAAGCTGAATGATAAAAACCAAACCAAGAAACAGCCCTTGGTCTACTCGAAATAATATAGGATTTGCCGTTTGTGGGGTCACGTGAAAATAGTCGTGCAAGTCAACTAGTTTGGGGGGGGAGGGGTGGGTGAAGGTGGAGATGCTGTTGCCCTTTCAGAGAAAGCTTCTTAAGTTGGCACTTGACCAACTGTTCTATTTCCGTATTTTCCCTTGGTCTCTTTCATTGATCTGTTTTGTTGACCTAGAAGAGCCGATGGAACTGCTCAAAGAAACGTGCTCAAGTGGACCTTGAGTAAGTATTTACATGTTCAACTGTTCCCCGGTCGGTCTAGCTAATGCTATCAGCGCTTGTATTCTTTTACAAAAGATGTTTAATTCCCGAGACAGGAGAGGAGGAAGACCACTGGTAATCTCTCTGCTTAAGAGGCACTGTTAGGCAACCGCAGAAGGCGAAGAAACTTGCCCCCGAGGCACCAATCTGACCCTTCTTTTAGCCTGTATGCTTTCAAAGAGCATATCATAGAAGCATAGATTGGGCAGGGTTGCCAACCACTAGAACAGGCTGCCCAGAGCTGCATCCAGCCTGGCCTTGAACGCCTCCAGGGATGGGGCATCCACGACCTCCCTGGGCAACCCGTTCCGGTGCCTCACCACTCTCTGAGTGAAAAACTTTCTCCTAATATCTAACCTAAATCTCCCCTGTCTTAGTTTAAAACCACTCCCCCTTGTCCTATCGCTATCAACGCGTGTATTTTTACTCCTGTTTATACAGAATCACAGAATCGTAGGGGTTGGAAGGGACCTCAAGAGATCATCGGGTCCAACCCCCCTGCCAAAGCAGGTTCCCTAGAGCAGGCTGCCCAGGTAGGCATCCAGACGGGCCTTGAACATCTCCAGAGAAGGAGACTCCACAACCTCCCTGGGCAGCCTGTTCCAGTGCTCCGTCACCCGCACCGTGAAGCTGTTCTTTCGCACGTTGGTGCGGAACTTCCTGTGGTGGCTTTACCGTGCTAGGCAGCTAAACACCACAGCCGCTCTCTCGCTCCCCCTCCTTAGATGAGGAGGGGAAGAAGTAAAGGAAAGAACAACTCACGGGTTGAGATGAGGATAATTGAATTAAAGGGAAAAAATAATAATCTTTCCTTGATAATAATAACGATTATTATTATTAACTAAACAATTTAACTAAAGGGGAAAAAAAGGGAAAGGGAAAAAAGGAAAAAACCAAAACGAATAAAGGCTACGTGGAAGTGCAGAGGAAAGAAATTACTCTCTACTTCCCACAAATGAGCGATGCTTGACCACGTCCTTGAAGCAGGGCCTCAACGCGCGTAGCCGGTGTTCGGGAGGAAGACCGACGTTTTCACAAGGAGAGCCCAGCCTTCCCCTCTTCTTCCTGTTTCCACCTTTTATTGCTGAGTGTGACATCGTACGGTATGGAATATCCCTTTGGTTGGTTGAAGTCAGCTGCCCTGGTGATGTTTGTCTTCTCGCTTTTTTGCCCACCCCCTAGGAGGGTTAGAGAGAGTCCTGATGCTGTGCCAGCGCTGCTCGGCAGTAGACGCAACACTGGTGTGATACCACTGCTGTTCTAGCTACAAGTGCAGAGCACAGCACTGTATGGGCTGCTGCAGGGAAAGTTAACATCCCAGCCAGACCCAGTACAGGCCGTTGCCCCTTGTCCTATCCCCACTAACCACTGCAAAGAGGGTGGCGAAATCCCACTGTCTCCCACGCTGAAGGTATTTGTAAACATTGATAAGATCTCCTCTCAGTCTTCTCTTCTCCAGGCTGAACAGACCCAGGTCTCTCAGTCTTTGCTCATAGGGAAGATGCTCCAGGCCCCGTATCATCTTTGTTGCCCTCCGCTGGACTCTTTCCAGGAGATCCTTGCCTTTTTTTGTACCGGGGAGCCCAGAACTGGACACAGTACTCCAGGTGAGGCCTGCCCAGGGCAGAGTAGAGGGGGAGGATCACCTCCCTTGACCTGCTGGCCACGCTCCTTTTAATGCATGCCAGGATCCCATTGGCCTTCTTGGCCACCAGGGCGCACTGCTGGCTCGTGGTCAACCTGTCGTCCACCAGGACCCGCAGGTCCTTCTCCGCAGAGCTCCTCTCCAGCAGGTCATCCCCCAGCCTGTACTGATACATGCGGTTGTTCCTTCCCAGGTGCAGGACTCTACACTTGCTCTTGTTAAACTTCATTTGGTTTCTTCCCGCCCAGCTCTCCAGCCCGCCCAGGTCTCGCTGAATGGCAGCACAGCCTTCTGGCGTGTCGGCCACTCCTCCCAGCTTTGTATCATGGGTGTACTTGCGGAGGGTGGACACTATTCCCTCATCAAGGTCGTCGATGAAGATGTTGAACAAGACCGGACCCGGCACCGACCCCTGGGGAACACCGCTAGTCACAGATCTCCAGCCGGACTCTGCGCCGCCGATCGCCACCCTCTGAGCTCGGCCAGTCAGCCAGTTCTCAACCCACCTTACCGTCCACTTGTCTATCCCACGCCTTCTCAGCTTTGCTAGCAGGGTGTCGTGGGAGACAGTGTCAAAAGCCTTGCTAAAGTCAAGGTAGATGACGTCCACTGCTCTCCCTCCATCAACCCAGCTGGTGATGCCATCATAGAAGGCTACGAGGTTGGTCGAGCACGATTTCCCCTTGGTGAATCCATGCTGACTACTCCTCATAACTTTCTTCTCTTCCAGTGGCTTGGAGATGGCATCCGGAACAAGCTGTTCCAACAGCTTTCCAGGGACAGAGGTGAGACTGACCTTTCCAAGAGCTCCACATCCTTCTTGTGCTGGGGGCCCCAGGCCTGCACGCAGTATTCCGGGTGGGGTCTCCCAAGAGCAGGGTAGAGGGGGAGAATCACCTCCCTCTCCCTGCTGGCCACCCCTTTTTTTAATGCAGCCCAGGACTTAGTTGGCCTTCCGGGCTGCAAGCGTGCGCTGCTGGCTCACGTCCAGCTTCTTGTCCGTCAGGACCCCCAAGTCCTTCTCCGCGGGGCTGCTCTGAAGTTCTTCTTCTCCCAGCCTATAGAGATACCTAGGATTGCCCCAGCCCAAGGTCAACGCCTTGCACTTATGGCATCCCTTCCCTCTATTGTATCGACTGCACCGCTCAGCTTGGTGTCATCCGCAAACTTGCGCGATTCCGTCGTCTGTGCCATTGCTAAGGATGTTGAAGAGCACCGGTCCCGAGCCCGACCCCTGAGGGACGCCACTTGTGACCGGCCTCCGCCCAGACATAGAGCCGTTGGCCACAACCCTTTGGCCGCGACCAGCCAACCAATTCTTTATCCACCCAACAGTCCATCCTTCAAATCCCTACCTCTGCAATTTAGAGAGAAGAATGTGGTGAGGGACCATATCAAAGGCTTTGCTCGGTCCAGGTAGCATATCCTATCCCAGGACTGGTTTCAGCCGTAAACAACAAACAGTTATGAAGAGAGATGTAGCTTTGTAAATGTTTTTGTTGCCTTGGGTGAATTGGTGTCTGGTCACGTTGATTGGCCCACGTGGTAGCTGGGAGATGGCCGACGGGGAGGACTGAGATGTTAAAGCTGCCTGTGGTTGCCTGCCCCCAGCCCCGTCCCCGTGGGCCATCCCGATGGCAGTAGCGCCCGCCTGGAAGCTCAAACTAAAGCGAGCGTATTCTGATGTCGTTACCCTCCAAGCCTGTCAGAGAGGCAGAAGCGCTGTGGCCTCCTCAGGCAGGAACTGCACGTGTGGGGACGGCCGCGTCCCTGCCGCCGTGTCGGGCCAGTTTGAGCTCTGCTCTCCGTGCGGCTGCAGGGCACCGCGGACCACGCTTGGGCAGCCTCGGGGGGGCGCTGCCTAGTTTTCCAGAAGCTTCCTCCCCAGCTGAGCAGAAACCCAGTTGTGATGCGTCAGGGCTGAGCACAGGCTTTGTATTCCTTCCCGCCACCCCCTGCACGGGAGGTGCAGCTTTCCCCCTTGGAAACACCAGCGGTTGAAGTGGGGCTCTCAGGGAAGGTTGTGGAGCAAGTTCTGAAAGGTACGAGCGTGAGGTCCCACATCTGGTCCGGGGCAATCCTAAGCACGAATCCAGGCTGGGCGGAGAATGGATTGAGAGCAGCTCTGAGGAGAAGGGCCTGGGGGCGTTAGTTGATGAGAAGCTCGTCAACCGGAGCCGGCAATGCAACGTGCGCTTGCAGCCCGGAAAGCCAACCGTATCCTGGGCCGCATCAAAAGGAGGGTGGCCGGCAGGTGGAGGGAGGTGACTCTCCCTCTCTGCTGCTGTGCTCTTGTGAGGCCCCACCTAGAGTAATTGCTGTGTTCAGCTCTGGGGTCCCCAGCACAAGAAGGACGTGGACGTACTAGAACGTGTCCAGAGGAGGGCCACGAAGATGACCGGGGGCTGGGGCACCTCTCCTAGGAAGGCAGGCTGAGGGAGTTGGGGTGGTTCGGCCTGGAGAAGAGAAGGCGCCGGGGAGACCTTGGAGGGGCCTTCCAGTACCTAAAGGGGGGGGCCCTACAGGAAAGCTGGGGAGGGACTCTTTGCCAGGGAGAGGAGCGATAGGGCCAGGAGTAATGGTTTTGAAGTCAGAGAGGGTAGACTTAGGTTAGATAGTTGGAAGCGATTCTCTCCTGAGAGGGGGGTGAGGCACTGGAACGGGTTGCCCAGAGAAGTGGTGGATGCCCCGTCCCTGGATGTGTTTAAGGCCAGGTTGGATGGGGCTTTGAGCAACCTGGTCTAGTGGAAGGTGTCCCTGCCCGGGGTGGGGGGTGGGGTTGGAATTAGGTGACCTTTAAGTAAGGTCCCTGGATTACCCCCTCAGTGGGGAAACAGGGGAGGGTCCTGCCATCAAAAAGCATATAAACTGTGTTTTGGAACTAGTAGGCACACTCTCCTGCTTGTGGGGTACCCGCCATTGCAATCAATCGCGAGGAAATTACTACTTCACTGAGATCCTCGCCTGAGCCTAAGTTATTGGCTACGGAGTGTTTCTCGCAATTTGGGGGCTCGTTCAGGATCCAGTCACCTACGGGGGAGCCCCAGCGGGTTTTAAGAATTGATCCGGTAACTCTGTGCACAGACCAAGGTAAGAAATGTTAAGTATTGCCTTGGGGGTCAGGTGAGACTCTGCGTGATGTGTGATTGAGACGTACTTTTGTACGAAGCGAGTGTGGAGTCCTGATCCGCGGTTCCGTGGCTCCGCGAGGGGCGCGGCCGGAGATGGACGAAGCGTGAGATAAGGGAGAGAAAGGAAGAGTCTCGGGAAATTTGGTGTACGGTAATCCTTGCACAGGGAAGTGCTTGGAAGTACACCAGGGAATCTGGTAAATTCATAGGTGTGTGGTAGCCCTTGCAGGGGGAAGTGCTTGGCAGTACACCCCCGTTTTCCAGAATCGGAACGTTAGTGTGAGGTACCCTGCAGGAGGGAAATTTCTGTAGCAGCACACTGACAAGGGCTAGGAAAAATGGGAAATATGAGTTCCAGGGGACAGGGAGATATCCCTGGGGGAGTGCCTACCAACAGTTCTTCCTGAAGAATGATAAGAAATTGGAAACATAATCCCAAAATTAGAGGAGATTGTAAAAGAAAAAAAAATAAAATTAAATATTGTGTATCAGTCTGGACAAAAGAACCAATTAAGGAAACAGCAGTGTTTTGGCCAAAATAGGGGTCTGATGAAAATTCAGGCTTTACATTTATGTGTAAACAATAAGCTTCCTTTTTCGGAGAAGGAGCCAAGTTATGCTCCCTATAATCCTAATACTGTACCCGTGGCAGCAGCAGTCACTCCAGGAAGGGAGACAGGGACTGTAGTTAACACTGTCCCTAAAGAAGGATCGTGCTCTAGGCTCTGTCAAGAATTAGAACAAGGTAGAAGATATGTTGAGAATTTTGCCTTCCCTGGTACTAACAGTACTAACACTAACCGTGTATCCTCTTAGGTGAACTACCCCCCGTCCTTAGCAGCAGAGAGGTTAGGACTTTTAAGAAGGAGAGGAAGTGTTTATTCGAGGACCCCAACAGCCTAGCTGAACAATTAGACCAGTTCCTACGACCTGACTTATACTCTTGGGGAAGGGAATTATGCCTGTAAGTATGTTGTTTACAGGGAAAGAAATGGGAATGATCAGGTGGAGAGCTGCTATACAAGAATGGGAAAGAGCTCATCCTCCAGGACCAGGGGTAATACCGGCAGAGCAGAAATACCCACTTGCCAATCCTGGCTGGAGTAACAATAGTGTGCAACACAGAAATCATATGAGAGGCTTGGGGTCAGAATGAGAAAGTACTCGGGGATGAGTCCCGAGGACCCGGTATCCCAAGGGCTCTTGAAAGTTCATTGTGTGATTAAAGCCTGGCGAGATACGCAGAAAATGCTCCAGAAGGTGGGGGGCTGTAGTGAACAGTCACTGGGGGACCCTCCTGCGGGAGGCCCTGGAGGTGTGTGTCCGGAGGGGAGATGAGAAGGAAAAGCAGAGAGCGAAACTAATGGTATTGACAGTGCAGCGGGTAGTGAGGCAGAGGGTTGGAGAAAGAGGAAGAAAATCTTCAGGGGGAGTCAGGGCCAGGATGGAAAGGAGAGGAAGAGAGATGAAGGAATGGCAGGCAAAGAAGGCTGCCTGTGTTGTGGCCTGAATCCTAGCAGGGACAGGCTTTGATAAGATGTTTTAAGTGTGACCAAGGATTCCCAGGGGATGCGATGTATGATTACATTGTACCAAGAAAAGACTGCCTGGGGAAATGAGGCCCGTAAGTCTCTCTTTGCTGTTCCTTGCGCGATAGCAACATCGCGGTTCCCCCTGCATTCTCTACAGCTATAGCTAACCATACAGCTTGCCTCTCACGGCAGGGTGTGAGTGCTGCCCAGCATCTGGGAGAATTTGCCTTGTGCTACCAAGGACTTGATGGGAAACTGCTCAAGACTTGAGATCCCCACCCAGGGCAGATCTCTGGTGGTACGGTGGAGGGAAGATCTTACGGTCCACCCTACCATATAACTGGGGAGGCACTTGTGCGCTTGTTCGATTAGCTATACCCTTCACCCTGGCATTTGAAAGAGAAACATCACAAATACCCAGAAGAAGTTAAAGAGGCTTAGGAGTATCATTCGATGACAGAGTATACATAGATTCTTTTGGGGTGCCTAGAGGAGTTTCCGATGAACAGAAAGCCAGGAATCAAATTGCTGCAGGGTTTGAGTCACTGTTCTGGTGGGTAACGATCAATAAGAATGTGGATTGGATTAATTATATTTATTCTAATCAGCAGAGAGTCATAAATTATACAAGGGATGCGATGAGAGGAATCGCTGAACAACTAGATGCCACCAGCAAAATGGCTTGGGAAAACAGAACATCATTAGATATGATGCTCGCGGAGGAAGGAGGTGGGGTGTGTGTGTGAGATACTGAGCAACCATGGTTGCACTCTTATACCCAGCAATACTGCCCCAGATGGCTCAGTAACTAGAGCATTGCAAGGGCTTACCACCCTTGCCAGTGAATTGGCAGAAAAAGTAGGCATATTTGCATCCTTGATCGTAGTTGTAGGAGTTTTGACAGCCATTGGTTGCTGCGTTATCCCCCGTGTAAGAGGACTAGTACAGTGGTTAACTGAAACCGCACTATTGAAACGAATGACCATGGAGCCACCACCTTACTCAGATAAGGTGACAATGAGGAGATGGAAAGCGAAGGAGAAGAAGAAATCTACCAAATTACACCTTAGAGAAAGGTTTTTCAAAAATCAACGGTTTATAAAGAAGAAAAGGGGGGAATTGTCATTTATAACGGTTGGGGGCTCGTCCGGGATGGCTTTGGTTCCTGAATTCTGATTTGATCTAGGAGAGGCGCCCCACCATTTGGTGGCTCCTGTTCGAGTCAGGTCGGGACTAATGCCATCTTGAACCTGAATAAAGGTAAGCAAAGAACTTGATTTTGTTATGAGCTCCCTTGCCGGCTGCAGCACTGTATTTTGCCCGTAATTCTGCGCGCGGAGATCCAAACGAAGACGACGGAGTCGTAAGCATTTAAGGCGTGTACCGTTCGGTTGGGTGGGATTCGGTTGCCTGTGTGTGTGAGAGTGTGACTGAGACGGAACTTAGTTCCGAAGCGAGTGCGGAGGTCTTCTAACCGCGGCTCCGGTCTCCCGCGAGGGACTTGGCCGGTGAAGGACCGAAGCGATTCCTATAGCATTCGTGGGTGGGTGATAGGTCCTAAACCCCCTGCAAGACACTCTTACTAAGGTAACCAAGGGCTGTGGGAATTGCCATAGTAAAATTCCTAGATGGTTCAGACAGAATTGAAGACCAAGGACCAGAAGAAAGGGAGCAAATTACCAGACATACCACCAGAAAGTCCATTAAGGAATAATGATTAGCGGACGCCCCTAGGTGCACCCTGAGTGTTTTGCTCGGAGGGGACTCCACTCTCGGCCGCTCACCGCAGGAGCAGACAAAGGCCTCCTGAAGCTGCGGACAAGCGGTAT